AATTTTAAAATTACAAATCTTTTAATGATTTATCTAGTCTATTGACGAAAAATAAATGAAGCGGTATTTTCTATTGCTGCCCTCAAACGATCTTTTGTATGGCGACGGGCGAATCGTGTGAAACCCAGCTGCAAGCTGCTTATGGAGGTGTCGAGGGTCCAAATGCTATGTATGTAAAGTTGGTCTCCTCGGATGACCACGAATTTTATATTAAACGTGAATATGCTCTTACAAGTGGAATCATTAAAGCAATGCTTTCAGGGCCTGGTAAGTTGACAATTTTAGATTATTTGTCAGTGCATTTATTGAGTCCACTTAGTTATAAAATTTATGTTTTCTGTCTCGTTATTTATTCTCAACATTAGTCGTTGGTGATATCTGAATCTATTCTAGGTTGAATACCTTGTCCATTCTTCTGCTCTTTGATTTGATTTCACATTTGTTTTCAAGATTATATATGTATGTGAAAGTCGAATCTTAAGCGTGAGTGATGTCGGTCGTCGAAATTAGCTCAACTTGATTTATTAATTTAGAAAATAACTGCGCCTTGATAGCTATTTCAAAATGAATAAATTCCACTACAAGAAACTTTACTACCAATGTGCTTTAGTTGTGGCAAGTTTCAATATTGCGAAATATGCTCGCATAGCTACAGTTTCTCATAGCACTGCCATTTACTACCTTAGGCCACATATTTTTCAGAAAATAGATTACTCTTATCTTTATCTTAAATTTACAGGTCAATTCCAAGAAAATGAAGTTAACGTAGTTCACTTTCGCGAGATTCCATCACACGTGCTGCAGAAAGTCTGCAATTACTTTGCATACAAGGTCCGCTACAGCAATTCTTCCTCTGAAATCCCTGAATTCCCTATAGCACCGGAAATTAGCTTGGAACTCCTGATGGCTGCCAACTTCCTGGATTGTTAATTCCGGAATTGGATCTATTTTGTGTGCTTTTACGCTTATTTGACTTTACATTAAATCATGTATAAACATTATTCCCTGTGTCATATAAAAAACTTGTTTGTCACTGGTATATAGCTTGCAGACACGGACTATATGGAAGGGCAACTGAAGTAAAGTAAGTTTGGTCTGCAATCCTAGAACTCAATGACAGCACCTAATTACATTAAAATTTTTTCCATGTATGCAAATTCTATGAATACTTCGCAATAAGTTGGCGACATAATTTTTCTGGGGTAAAAATTGTTCATTGTCATCCAAACCTCCCCGGATCAATGGGTTTTTCCATGAGCTTAGTTTTTTGAGACAGACTAAATCCGTCTACGCTGTCTTATCGCGGTAGTAATCATTTGATAGACAGATAGAAGTAAAGAATGTGATTAATTAAAGTAATTGAGAGGTCTCAGAAATCACGATATTTAGGTCTGTGGTAAGGGGGAATGTGGGAATTTAATTAGATGAAGGGATTTAAGGGCAAGACGGCGGGGCGTAGGCGAAAGGAAAGCAAGAAATTGGTGAAAGTATGGCTCTTATAACAGAGTTAAATTACTAAAAACAAAGTGAAGTGAGTAAAGTCAAAACCTTTGTTCCCGTGTTGTCAACTCTTTATTTGACAATTATGATTAAGAGGAGATAGAAGACAAAATTTGTGCTGGATAGATGGCTTTGGCATCATTTTAGTCAACGAATGTACAAACAAGCGTATAATACCCATTGGACATCAAACGAATTATAATTAGCTTGCATTTCAGTAGAAAGTATTTCGAGATGTACGATGCTTGAAAATCAAAACTCACTTCTGAATTTCGATGAATCTAATAATATCGAGATATTGAAAGCAAATTTTTTCTTTTCAAACAGTGGATCGATTATAGTAAAAGAAGGCATATATCAATTCTACACTAATAAGCCTTGACTAAACCTCAAAAATTTCCATACCAAAATACTTGGATATGAGATTTTCCTATACACTATCAAATAAGTGAAGTGTATGGTACGAATAACGTCCATTGTGATTGTGAGTCACTGTGCACAGTTTTGTAATTAAAATATGGGGTGCGCGATAGACTTACCTCCACGTGGGGCACCCTGGACAAAGTATACCCATACGGCAAAAAAGTCTTTTAACTGGCAGTTGACTTCTGACTTCAAAATGCCATAACCCCACTGTATGTCTTATTCCACAACTTCACAGTACTCATCTCACCTGTTCTCTACCTTTGTGTCTGTCTCTTCTACATCTGTGAATCATTCTTCTGTTCCCCCTTTCGAATTTTTCTCACTTTGATATTCCTCCCACTTTGAAGACCAAAGTCAGCGAAATGGCTAATGATGACTATTCAAAACGCCTGCCGTTTGAAACAATAATACTAATTATTAAAAAAATCATGCAGTAGGAATCACTGTTAACTATCTGAAAGATCTCTGAACTCACGATTACTCCTGCTCATTTCTCGTTAAGTAGCACAGTATAAAATTCCAAAGTGACCGGGCGTGAACACGATTCCATGATTACGGTGTAAATTTCATAGATCTTCCCTAAGACTAACGCGACGCATTTGTATTTCCCAATTCAGAAGACTAAGAAAATATTGAACAAAGGAGGACATAAAAGGTTAAGTTTACTTAATCAAGTAAATAGGCTATGAATAGAACCTTGAATAGCGCTTTTAGCAAATGCTGAGACGAGAAAATGAACAGCTAATGCTGTGTAAATATTTCGACCGTAGATGATTGAAAAGTATTCAATTTCATTATCAGAAAATGTTGAGAAAAGAAACTTATAAAAAATAAGATAATTCAAACCATGCTAAATGCTCAAAATGTTATTACATAACTAAATAATTTACAAATGAACTTCTTTGTTTTTTTGCTCATGACGACCTCAGACTATTGGCAATAATTTGAATGCAAGGCCACAATCTGAATTGATTGCCCATATGGAGATTTAGCAAAAGGCTGGGAACCAAAATTGCGAGGAAAATACTTTACTGTATATCAACTTTGTTGCTTCGGATGCCCATTAACTTTTACTCAATCGTAAACTCGCGAAACTTTGTTTGACATTTCGCTCAAAGATTTTTCCTCGCAGTATATACTAACTTTAAATTATTATTGAACGATATGTATATACATCGTGCATATATTACTTAACTAATTTTCCCAACCATGGTTGGACATCTAGAGTTTTTTTGATAAAATGTGCGTTAACTGATTCGTTGTGCGATAAACAACATGAAAAGCGTTTTTCGTATTATTCTCGTTCTGTTATGAATGCTTAAAAGCATAATGTTAATAAAAGTGTAACGGTTTTGTCTTATTTAATCAACTTACAACTTATCAACTTATTTTTATATTATCTGATCTCAAATTTTTAGTTAGAGTCTGTACCTTAGATTTTTGGGCGTCATTTTTAAGTATCACTTTCCATGGTTGACTGATTGACTTTATTTTCCACATAGCATCAATGCCAGTTTTGAAATTAGTGAAAGTTTTAAAATAATATAATAATAATAGAGATTGTCGGTTGGCTGGTTGGTCTCTGGTCTCATAATCGTTCTTACTCCCTACGCGAATTAGCACGGCTGCACCTTTGAGCCTGTCTAAATGAGCATGAAATTTTTTTGTTCATGGAGGACAGCGTTATCTGTCTCACAACTTTTAACATCTATTGACTCCTTTATATCTTATTTACTATGCTAGTGTTAGTAAATCAGAAGCAATATAATTAGTGCAACTCAGTGTAATTATCTATTGAAAATTTAACTTAAAACTAGTAAATGTCTGACCACAAACTATATTAAGTATTCAGCAGTCCGCTCTCGAGATTGAGACTTCCACTGACTTAATCGCAAATGATTAAAGTAGTCTGCGTCCACTTTGAGGGGGTGTAAAAAGGGACCATCTAGAGAGCTGATTTCCGAATTCGACATTGAACTGCCAACTTTCTGGCTTGCTAAATCCGGATCAAGGAAGAAGTAATATTGCTTTACTATTATTATTATTAGTAGTAGTATGAATGATTACTATAAATGTCTTAATAAATAATTATATGAGTGAAATGGAATTGTGGGTGGGGTTGAGCCACGTTATTGACTTCAACTTTTACATAGTGAGTGGTGCAGTGTTCAATAAAATGTGGCATTCGTAGAAATTATTATAATTGGTAAGAAAGATTACTATGGTTATAAATAGGATGTCAATCAAACGAGGACCACTAATGGTTGCTAGGAATGCTTCTGAAGTATCTGCGCTAAGGTAATATTTATTTGTTGATATTTGTGCTTCTCAAAAGGGACGCAGAGAGTAGGAGAAACACTTTGTGGCATTGTGAAATGTTCCTCCTCAGGTGTTGGAAGAACATAACTTTCAATTGCGCATTCCATACCAGCATATCTACAATTTTATTCATAAGCCTGATAGATATACATAAACATTTATTTAGATTTCTTAACTTGTTTGGATTCCAGCATTCGTAATGGCGTCTGTAGTTGTTACATACATTGACTCAGATCAACTCCGCCTTCCTTTATATTGCTCCTTTATTAACTCATTTTTTCCATCCTCTTTAATTTCTATCAGAGTTTACCTATGACATCAGTTTAATAGAATACCAAGTAGTCATTACTAGGACACAAATACGTAACTATGGAAATGATCTCATCATATACTGCCTATGTGTCAAGCAAAAATGAAATATGTGTAGATTCTGTGTGCTCTGATTAAACAGAATTAGGCAGCAGAAGTAATACATATACTGGAATTTCAATATTCAACATGATAGCCTAGGAATTCGGTGATCATACCGGTCTCATTAATGCTTTGGGGGTGTCAAATTTTGAGCTTCTTACCTGAGAATATGAATTAAGTCATCCCTGTAAAAGATAAGAGTTCATAATAATAACGATAACTTTGGATTAGGTTAAATAGAGAGAGAGAATACCCGAGAGAAGAGCGATTTTTGAATTTTTGTAAATATAGGAAAATCAAGATCGTTTAAAACAATATCGTTCATCCTTGTTATGTATTCTTTCTCAAAATTGAATTTATTTGGACTTATTTTAGTATGATCAGATTTAAAGTCAGCCGATTCATCTACAGTTGAGTATCACATTGGTTTGAAATGTTGGATAGTTAAAGAAAAGCTGATTATTAAAATACGGAAACCTAACCGGCATTTAAAGTGGGCATATGGAGCCTTAACTGTTTAGCTATATAATAACAGAAATATATACATGGGTGCGAAATATAAATAATTTTTATTAATTTCTAGTGCCTTTAATAAAGAAATCAATAAGAACTCCTTTGTTCTATCGTTGTTTAACTATTGCAAATATATTCTTTATAAATATACGAAATACTAGTTAAAAATTTAACTAATGAAGCTAAATGTAATATTAATCATATGAAGGACAACTATGATAAAACCTATGAAGGGCTAATGTTATTGAATAATATTATAATGTTGCAGAAATATTATATGTATCCAATTTGAACTTACTTAGTTTTCTGCCGATGAAATAATTAAACAGAAAATAGTTCAACGAAGGATTTGGCATATCGTTGCAGCTGAGGTTTAAGTTTTCCTCGAGTGCCATACAAATTAGCGTAACGCCGTTATTTCACTAAATTTGACAGCATGACAATTGTTAGAAAAAGAGTTAGTTCCATTGGGACAAGAGACAAACTGGCATTAATGAAAAATGCGCTTGTAATTTGGCCGATTATTTAGAAATATAATGACAGAATGTTAGCTTATAATTCATGATTTTTTAATATGTAAAATTTGGTGTTAATAGTTTCTTATTTGGTCAATTAGTGCGTTTATTTGAGATGACTAATGTTCTCAAATGCAAGGTCGCGTAATATCATAAGTTCTTATTCTAGTGAATTATGTCATCGCCTAATACTAACGAACTTCAACAGCTTACAATCTACGAAGGAATTGAGGGTCCTAAATCTGAATACGTAAAGCTTATCTCATCGGATGGTTTCGAATTTGTCATCAAGCGTAAATATGCAAATGTCAGTGAAACAATTAATGCAATGTTATCCGGTCCCGGTTAGTTTTACTTACGTCTAAAGCTGTGCGTTTTTGCCTTTTCGAGCGTTAATATTTACTGTATTCCACTACTAGTAAACTCTAGTTTCGATATTTGCTTTTACGTTTCCAAAGTTATGTTTCCACCACTAATATTAAGATTTATTATCACATTACTTAATTACGTTAATATTTTGTGTTTGCTCCTTTTAGCATAAGTGCTTAAATCTTTCTTTTCTTTACCCTTTTCTAATATTTATATCTGGATTAGTTGGTGTTAATATTTCTACTGTGCTTGCTAAATCACCCATCCTTCGATATTGTCATGCTAGTCTGTTAGAATTGCTTGTACGCACTAATACAAATGCCGGAATGTTTAATTATTATTTAAATTTTATCGAATTCGAGTTTTCACTTCAAGGCAATTAGCTTTGCTATGCAGGACGATCCAGAGTTCATCATTTTTTTACTTAAGGTACATTTCGGATACTTTAACTTTATATTATCGATGATTGCCTTAAACCCTATCTTTGTTTTTTTAACTTTGTAGGTCGATTTGGAATAAATGAGGAGAATACGATTTTGCTAAGCCAAATCCCCTCATATATTCTTGATCAAGTCTGCAAGTATTTTTCTTTCAAGGAGCATTACGGAAATACCATCATTGCAAATCATAAATTCCCTATCTCGCCGGAGGCTAGTTTCGAACTTCTGATGGCCGCAAACTTCCTTAACTGCTGATTTAACTGGAGATGAAAATATTTTCGTATCTCTTTTGCTATTTGCTATTCATAAACTACCATGCTAAACAGAAGCGTTACACACTATCAATATTTGAAAAAGTATCTCTAGTTCTGTTGATATGTCTTTAAAACACGGTCAGGTTATATCTAGAAATTTCCTTACTGAGCAAATGCCTTTATATCATGCCTACGATAAGATATAACATTTCTTAAAAAAGGAAGATCAAAAAATAATTAGGAAACTGGGGAAGATTGGAAGGAGAGAAATAAATTATAGTAAATGTTGGAAAATGGAAGAGAAGTGAGACATGGTGTGACTGACTGACAGCTTCTCATTCCTTTCGATTGGTATAAATTATAATTTTTAGAAGACTTTTGCTATTTATAATTGGTCTCACCCTTGTTCAAACAATATATTCAAGCGGTGAAAAATAAAGCAAGGGAATCACACTGCTTAAACGCACATTCTTGTATTTCATTGAAAAACTGTGAGTGATATTTGTTTAAGTTTTTAGTCTGGGCAATAGTATAGCTTCTAGGAGACTTCATTATTAGGAAAGTTCACAAATGAATGACAGCAGATTAATCCGTTGCCCAAAGGAGGATTGAGGGCCACGTAATTCATAGTTATTTAATAGTGGATAAACCAACGTAACAATGAAGAATCGTCAAGCGTGCAAAACTTAAAATACGAGCACTTACACCCATATTTCATGTTAAATATTCACATTTTAATGCATTAAAAACTACAAGTCGTAGGTAATACATATTACGATTTTGCTGAAATGATGAGAATAGCTATTAACTTATTATTTGGGTGGTTTATATCGTTGTTAATAACTCAGGTACCAGAATTTTACACGCCTCACGTCATAACTAGTATAAAATGAAAATATTTTACGTATCTTTGAACGATTAATATTATGCTGATCTAGTCTCAGTATTGAAATTAAGCATAAGAGCCCAATGAAATAATACCGAACATTTTAAACTAGTAATATTTATTTAAATTTTTCATGTTAATATTCCTTATATCTTTATTGCATCCATTAATTTCAACTTTGAATCGGAATTGACATATATAGAAAAGTTATTTTAAATTTCATTGGCAGACGTTCTTAATCATCTTGTGTACTGATCTTCAATCATACTATAGAAAAATAATTTTTAAGGCTTTCTACCATATAGAACAGAGTACTAATTATGGAAAAAACTGAATTTGGTTACAAATCATTTTAACTAAATCACACCATCATTTCTAATAATACATAAAAGTTTAAGTCACACTAATAGCAAATAAAACGTTTTAATCCGAAATTTACTTTAACTGATTATTTACTCTAGTATTTAGCATAGATGTATCCTTTGATGAGCAAATTTCAAACAAAATGCCCCGGATTGGTTAAAGTCCACATTAGATTTTCTGCCTATTTTTACCCCTTGTTGTGGGTTCGAGTGTTTAGGTGGATTTGAGCTCCCCTATAGTTCGTTTGGGTCAATAGTGTAAATATAACAATCTTTGACTATTTTCATACTTTCCGTTGCTTTATAATTTGTCAGTATCGCTTTTAGTTCGATCGGATCGACTGTAAATAAAGCTTCAAATAGTATGAGTGGCGCAGAAAATATCAGCTATTATTTCCGTGCTTCCACATGGCCAATGAAGGCTCCAGGCCGAAGTCGTAAAGGGAGACGACTAGTAAAACTTCTTAATCTTCATCAACAGGATGTTAGCTCACTCATTTTCTCTGACAGTGATCAGCATCAACCCGATCCCAACTCTCCTCAGTCAATACTTTCCCGAGCTACCCATCTGGCCCTCCAACATCTAGATCTGGGTTCTTCTGCTCCTGGTCATTTGTCCAAAATGCTGAATCGACAACATAATATTTCAAATATAAAACAGAACCCTTCAACTTCTGATAGTACCCGATTTAATAGCCCCCCACCCTCAGAATTTTCCAGCATATCATTCGATGAGGCAAGTTTACCTTTTTAATGTGAACTTAAATTTTCTGGAAGTTTGTCCATATTTTGATTTTTCTGCAGCCATTAAGGAATGGGATTCTCTCGAGCAAATTCTCACGACTCAAGTCTGAAAATGATGAACTTGAACAAAATTCTATTGAAAGTGGTTATGTGGCTTCATCAGCAATTCAAACTCCTGGCGCAAGTTCTTCTGGCTCTTCCTCATTCAAGCGAAAGTCTGCTGCTAATCGATATCATCAAGTTCGAATAATTGATAATAGATTAAAGAAACCTGCTGATGAAGCCGCGCTTCTTCAAGCTAGACGCCGGCTTTATCTACCCCATCGGTTTGCTCGATCTTGCACCTCGAATGATGATGAAGAGGATGACGATGAAGATGATGATATTGTTAATGAGAGCCAGCATGTAGAAGAGGCTGTTCCAACTTCTTCAATTCTTGTTGCAGGAGGGTCTAATTCGAATCAAGGATTAGCGTCCTCTTCCCAAAAACATGTTATCCTTCTCACCAGTTCTTCAGAACCTTCGCCATCTCTTCGCATTTCTGAAGCGAATGATTTGCATGAGATGGAGACTATTGCTTCCCCTACAAATGACTCCACTTCTCCCGTTACTAATGATGTATCTAGTTCCTCCATACCACTTATTTCCAAACTGCTCCAATCAGTAGAGTATCCAAACTCCATCTCCCATCTATCAGCGTCAGATCAACGCCGTCACTCTAGTTTTGTCTCTTCAATAAGTTCGAATAAACGTGGGAGCGTCAGTAGTGGGGCTCTAAAGCGATACAACACCTCCTCATCGGTGTACAGTGGGGATCGGACACCACCAACTCCAGTTAAATCTACTCTGAAAGCAACTTCAGTTCGACGACATCGAGAATACGAGCAGTGGAGACAGAGGTCGTCATTACCTCTCTCACCGCGTGCACCCAATAGTTCCCCCGGTTTATTTGAATCTAGACATAATCAAAATCATCATGGCGTCTCGTCGGCGGATGACGTTGAGACAGATATTGGGAGTGGTGGAGTAAGAGTTTGTGGAAATATGAGCATCTTATCTACTGCCATGGAACCTATCTGTGTGGTGAATCTTGCTACTCCTTTGAGGTTAGTTTACCCTTCCTTGTCTTTGGTTGATAATGATCGATGTGCGTCTTTATCCAACAGTATTATTGGATGTTGCAAAATTGGTAGGGGATTAATCTTTAAAGCTAATATTTTTGCAGCTTGTATTTTTTCTTATTGTAATCGTAATCGTTATAATGTTTTTATTCACATACAGCTTAATTAGCTAATCGCACAAGCTTAGGGTTGAAAGTTAGTTGCCTTTCCTTTCAATCTGGTTGATAGTCGGTGCATATGTTATTTTGGGTATTCAAGATTAGTCGATTTTTTTTCAGTGTAAGGTGTTGATATTGTTTGTTTGGCAAACAAAATGTCTTCTACTCAACCTATCATGTTAATATTAGTGAAATGCTTTTTCTTCAATTTGTGAGTTTATAATGTATTGTTAATTTTTCCAAACCTTTTTTCATTCATTTACTTTTGTTTCTGCTCAGATTATGTCTCTGCAATAGATCTAATAATGGCTTACCATTTGTTTCATTTTTTTATTTCTGGATTGAATTAAGCCTAATAGTAGTAAAGCACTCTTCCATTTCCTTCAGCTCTCCTGCTTCATTCCTTTATTTTGAAGATGGCTTCATTTTTCTCTTTAAATTTTATCTGTGATCTGATTAGTTGCGGTATTTGATGGTTTTGTTATTTAGATGTTCAAAAGCTAATTGTCGATTCATATGTACTAGCATTTTGCCCAAATTTGTTGCTTAAATAGACTGATCTTCTTATTTGATGTGCAATTTTGTGATTATCTTAACCCTTAATTCGGACAAATTGTTCTCACCAATAATGAACCTTTATCAATCCACTTTTCTCGCTGGCCTTTCTTTTCATTATTGATTGTTTCTGGCGTTTGGCTAGCACTCCTCTCCCCTTCAAACCAATCGATCAAGTAGTTTACTCTTTTAATGCTCAGGACAGTACATATGCACCGACTCTACAGTGTAGAAGTGGAAAGTAATTCCGTTTTTTGGGTTAAATGCCTTCACGAGTTATTTCATAAAGCCCTTTAACTTCTGTCAGGCAGACGTCTTGTCTTATTGGCAAATTAACTACTTATATGACACTTAAACCTCCAGAAATCCCTAATAATCGATTTTGATGAAGATTGACGTCTTTACGTGGTTTTGCAATATTCGTAAGTGATTCATCTAAGCGATTAGTTTGAGTCACTTGGCATGCGTTTCTTTTTTATTTGTCTCTTCCTAGTCACTCATTTTATGAATTTTTATCCCACTGAAAATTAGCATTGTTTGATTTAATTTGCTACGTTATTCTGATAGTTTAAAGCAGTAGGCACCGCTCTCGTGTCTACGTTGATTACTGTTGGCAATTTGAGTTTAGTGTTGTTTTCTTCCTCGCCTAGTGTACACGGAGAAGGCAAAATATTAATTGCTGTGGCCGATTTATTGTTTTTTTCTCTCTCCCTAAACTTTAACCACCCACGCGTTACGCAACGATTTTTGTTGGTGATCAATAGTGAGAAAGGGTTTTGTGTGGAGAAATATATAACTTTCATTAATTGAATTTGAGAGAATTTTTATCTTAAAAGAGAGGGACACACTGCCAGAGCTCCAGCTATGATTGATATCTCTGTTTTTCATGGCTCGAGTTATTCTGTTAAACATTTTCTTTTCTTTTTTATTCATTCCTCTCTACTTTCGTTATTACGTATTTCATAAATCAGGTCCAATTTTTTTGATAACTGGAGGAGGTCGTAGTGACTATATTATCATTTAAAATTCATTAACGTATCTGTCCTGTAAAGTTATCAGCATTGTTTTTTCATACTCCAAATGATTTTTTCTCCCTCGTTTCAGCCAAAACCTCTCCTTCGATGGCCCTTCCCAACAACAACGTCGAGTTAACCTCCTTGTAGAGGGCGTGCGTTTCGTCGTCGATCTAGACAGTCTCCGAGCCCATCCGGATACAATGCTCGGTCGCATGTTCCAATCCTCCTTTATGGAGAATTCTTACGCCACTACCACTCAGCAACTTCTGCCAACCTCCGGTGGTACAACCACTTGTGAAGAAGAGGAGCAGGACGACCTTGACGACGATGACCTTGAAGATGATATAGATACTGAGGAAGTTAGTGGAACATCCTCCGTGTGTTCCGGTGGTCCATCTGCTGGTGGAGAAACTGCAAGTAATAGTCGAGCTATGAATGATGTCGAACACTGGATGGCTGTTGCATCAACCTCTACAGCCTGTGGAGGAGTCGGTACTACCCACTCCGCTCCCGCTTCCTATCGATCACATCGGGGATCCCTATGTGGTGGAAATGGTCGTCAAGGGGCACAAAGATGTTCTACTAAGAGATTACATACAACCGCACAGCAAAGACGTCGATATTTGCAGGGGCAACAGAACTGTCGGGCAATGGATGTGTGTCTGAGTGGTGCTGGAGTACCAGCAAATGTGTTTAGAGTAATTTTAGATTACTACCTTCTGGGGAAAATGACCTGTCCTCCAGATGTATCTGTGAGACAGTTAAAACAAGCTTGCGAATATTTCCTCATCCCCTTTAACCACGAGACGGTTTTCTGCTCGAATCTACGTAAGTTACTTTCACGACGTAAAATTTCGTCATCTCTGTGGGTTAACATTCGTCCGTCTGTTATTTAGTGGTAATTAAACTGTGTGTTTAGTGTTACTCATGCCTATTCGTTGGTGTCTTCATGAAGGCTGGCGGCTTTATATCTAGTGTATATACACTAAACGTTTTTATGGAGAATTGGATCTACTAACGATTATTATTTGTAGCAGTTTCAAACAGAGCCATCTTATGTTCCAGACGGATATAATCGAGAGTTTGCTTCCTGTTTTCCTTTCAATCTGCCTTGTCTATCTCAGCGAAGTGGGACCTGGAAGATTAATAGATTCTAGTGCCCATCTGTGACCCATGCGTTAAATACTTCCTATTAATTATGCACAGCTGGCATTTAGTCAAAAAGTCTGACCCATGTAAACCTTTCTTGATTTGCATCAACGTGGGAATTTTACAAGAAGAGTGATTACATTCTCAATTTCTTTTCCTGCCTTAGAGCTTTTAAGCTTGCGGAACAATTTGTACTGAAATCCTGGGAAAGGAATTAGAAGACCTCACAACCACTTACCCGTTACACAATGATTTGAGGGATGATGGAGAGGTTGTTGTCATCAATTTTCCGAGTATAGTAATGGCACTGGTCGACAGTGCAAAATGTCCGCCGATGAGTCAGAGAAAGCTTAAAAGGCTTGTGAACGCGTCTTTGCTCAAGTTGCGTGGGCGTTATATTTGGGCGATGACAACAGCTAAGAGTGCTGCATGCTGTGTAGGAGTATTTACCCCTTGTAGTAATGTTTAACACGTTGAGTGCGATAGTCGAAACCGCCGGCTGTCCGCTGGTACGATTGTTTGGGTTGCTACAGCGTCAGTGTCTCTGGTATCCAAATAAAAGAGTTGAACACATTTTCTATAAATTTCAGACCTTTACATTATATCTTCAGCAACAACGACTGTGCTGAAAATGGCAACAATGCAAACTTTTGGCGCTCCTTTAAATATGCTTTATTATTTTTATAAACGACCCACCGGTGGATCGTATCGCACTCAACGATTTAAGAGGATAAACTTTTCATGCGAATTCCAGAAAGTGAATAGTGCAGGGAAGGTGTTTGGTTAATCGTAAACAAGTGGTGGAACTGAGGTTGTGGATATGAGACTGGGGGCATTCGTAAATGCGCTTGCATAGGTAGAGCATCAAAGAAGTAAGTCAGGATGTCATCCCCTTTTTGTAGACTGCAAATGTAGTCCACCTTCTTTACACTATCTTCACACAAAGAATGACTGCCAGAAAGCGGTTGATAGACCTCCAGATTTCCTCAATATTTGATGTCTGCAATCATCTCAATTGAAGCCTGTCTGTTACTGACTGGAATTATTTTTCTTTTGAGCTTTTCTCAGTTCTCTTTTAGGTGAATAAGCGATTTCCCTGTTCTTCCAGGGTGTTATTCCTTTTTAGTGGGCATCAATTTATCTTGTGCTGACTGGATGTGCAAGTACATATCGTTGTAATGGGGGGGGGGGGGGGAGAGGGAACGAAAAAGAAAGCAGTAGTTTTCTGCTAGAGAGGTTTGAAGTTTCCCTTTTTTCAACGTTCAGTACAGTTAGGGAAATGTAATGCGACATTTTCATCCATCTCCTTCCGAATTATTTATCCTTATTGTTTAAGGTGCCAGAAGATGATTATTCAAATTTTAACATATCAGTATTGAGAATGATACATTGGTTGTTAATTATATAATCATCAATGTTTTTTTAAAAATAAACCTGCTACTTTCAGAAGTAGTATTCCTAGCACGTGCTTGCTACCTTTTCACATTTGCGCATTTTTATGCTGTAATGTAAAATTCCTTTAATTATGTCTTTATAGAAATCGCTTGGTTTTTTGGTTCATTTATTGCTAATATCAAAATTGGTGTAGCCTGAAGTGGTTTCGGATTTTTGTTACTTTTTGGTGTGAGTTGAAGAACCTATCTAAAGCATCTTCACGAGGCCAAAGCTCGTCGACTCGAAGCTCTCAGTTTGTATTAGAAAGTTCTTTTGCGTAAAAGCAAAGTTCCACCCTTTTGTAAGTGTTTGTTTCTAGAAAAATGTGTGAATCCTTAACATCTCTTTCGAAATAATGATCGTGAGTTATTTTTTTCTGTTTGCAATGCAAGTCACCTAGTTAGTGGACCCATCTAATCGCGAGATGTTTATGTCACTGGGCTGGTAGATTTCTCTAGTAATAATCTTATTATCTTTTTTATAATTGATCAAATTATCCATCAAATTGGTTAATGTCAGTCAATCATGAGTTTCGTATGGGAATTCTTTAATAAAGATGAGGTTCGGTTAACTCTGTCCTTCAAGGGCTTGGAAGTTAATGGCCGTCTTCTAATTTCAGTTTCGCTTTCCAATCTGAGCTTTGCAAATAGTTTTCCTTTTTACAGGTCTGTATTTGATATTGTGAGACTGCAATGCTGTACGTTCCACTTCAAGATGCAACATTTTTGGGGCGACAATAACTATATCGCCCTATTTGCACAAATAAAGATTGGCAGATCTGTTCATCCAAACATTAGCACTGCGTACTATCTCTTCATTTTCAATTAGTGTGTGTCCATTTTCCGGAATGAAAGCCCTTTTGTGTGCACTCAGGGGGTATTTGGTATATATATATATATATATATATATATATATATATATATATATATATATATATATATATATTATTGCAAGTATTTTAAAGAGAGCTATTATTTTTCTTGTCCAACACCATTAAAATCACCTAGTCGACCATCTCCATTTATCCAAGGAATCAGTTAAGTCATGAACGGAATGTTATGGAAAAGGCTAGAAAATACTCGGTTTTATTCATTGAGTGTTATTGTCATTATGCAGTCGGGGATTTACTGATGTCGGTTAATGTCACTCTTTGGAACACAGCTCAAAATTGAGTTATTTTGGTGTTTCATATGTAGTTTTTATTTAATGGTGCATATACAGGTGGTCTGATGTCACGGGTTCTATACTTCTCGGTACATATTCAATGAATGATATGGCACCGTTGTGGCTAGTGGACATTTTCATCAGCAACGTTCCTATTCACAGTAGGCTTGAGATTGAATTGAAACAAGAGTAGTTGATTAATGCCACAATGTTGTTCGCAATTGGATTTGCAATTTGTTATTTCGACCATATACCCTTTATCTGACTTCTTACATAGGGTTTGTCTGGGCTGGGGAAGTAATTGGACCACGGCTAAAATCTAACCAGTTTCTCCATTTCTCTTCTTGCAGGGGAGTTTCTACATGAAGTCTCCAACGACGGTGCCTACAAGATATTCGAAAACTTCCTGGACGAACAAATCGTGCCTCAATTCATGAAGTGCGCTCGGTTAGGTGAGCGCGAGTGTCACATTGTCATCCTCACTGACGACGAACAGGTCCATTGGGATGATGAATATCCACCACAGATGCCCGAGGCTGAACTCAGTTCGCACAGTAAGTCTACGATGTCCTTATTCATGCTTACAGAGTATATTTTTTGGAGGATTTTGTTAATAAAATCCTTTATGCTGGTAGTTATTGCATAGAGGCCTTGCTTTCGGTTGTCTATGCAGCTGAATCGTCTGGAAAAATTAACATCAATTTTTTAAAAGATTTTCTTTATACTTGCTGGAATAGCCCCAGGCCCGACTTTTTCAAGTTATTAGTGGCGTCTGATGGCTTTGTGTCTTTGAATTTTAGCAAAATTATTTTTCTAAAAAAACGAGTGAGTTGTATGCGTTGAAGTGAAGAAATGAATTTCCAAATAATATTTAGTCGAGTTTCGAGAGTAGATTTCCTCCCCTCTCCCTCTCCATCTGTCTCCGCCTTTCTTGATCAAGATTGCTCTCTTTTATTCAGTTATTCGTGGTAATAACCACAGCGCACTGAATTCAAGTGGAGAAATAACTTTTTTCATTACTTTTCCATTTCTTCAAATCACGCTCTCCCACATCCCGATTCGTCGTTCTCACTAAAATATGTTCATTTGCTTCGTGAGAGACTCATCTTCAGAGGTAACCACCAACACAAAGCTTTAATTTAAAAGATATGCTAATTGGATTTGTTTTAGTTCGTTCACCCAATTTTTTCGGTGATTGAATAATGATTTATCAGGTGTATAATTGGGTTCTGTTTCCCTGGTTTCGCCGTTAAAATCCCCTTCGTATGTTAATCGTAGCGGAAGTTCGTCTAATCACTCATTGCAAATTTTACTGACAGGTCATAAATGGAGAAACTTGCAAAGTTTATTTCCAACTTGCAGTCTGTATAAGAGGAACAAGGCTTTCGATTATATTGACCTGCTTTATTCCCCTTTTCGTTGTATTAATCGCAGCCAATACCTTATCGAAGCCATTGGTTTTTTATTACTAGGATCTATTTAGTTTTTCAACTTCTAGTGTTCGTTCCTATGACTTCAAGCCCGCTTTTATTTGTGTATGTGTACATTTCTTTGCCTAAAAGTTTGACTTAATTAGAGAGAACTATTTCAGTTCACGTCGCGTTACTCGACTGTTTTACTTACGCCCGCCATCTCTCACCCTGCATAAGCTGCGTTCCTAATTTTAAGGTCATTCGTTTAACCGGGGGGGGGGGGCCTTATTTACGCGTTAAACTGTCATAGTTGATGCCTGTAAACATTTTATTCTTACTAGCTAAGAGGGGGATTTCTCTCACCACTCACTGTTCATCCATTTAACCTTGATGAATGGTATGCCTCTTTCATGGCTTACTGCGAGCAGATCAAAAGATATCTCCAGTTGCACTTGGGAAGAGGGGGGGGGGGGGGGTTATTACTTTACGGGTGGTCTGTTAAAAGCGTTCATTTTATCTCAGTCACAAAGTAATTTGTTTATTGCTATCTTTCCTTAGTAAATATGATTTCTAGCAATCATTTTGAGCAAAGGAGTCATGAAGTTATCGTGATTCGGGATCTCCCATAGCAAGTATCAAACAGTTTGCTCACATTCGAATAGGCGGAACCCGAGAGTTTGGAAGGCCAAGTTGGCAATGCAATTGGAATCGTTATGGACATATGAATGGGTTTCTAAAATTGAACCCATTATTTCTATTACTGCCGCATGTGTTTAAACTTGCCTTATGGAATCGGGTGATGTGGGTTCTTGGGGTTAGCACGCTGTTGCTCTGGATTTGTTCAGCTTCTAACCTAGTTGTGTTAATTATCCTTCTAACACGTAGAGAGTTTTTTGTGCATAGTCTTAATACCATGTCGTTACTTGCAAAGGTCTTTCAACTTTTGGACCCCACCAAGTGGTGGTATTCGTCTCAAAATTCGAACTCTCAATCGTAAAGTTTTGCTGTGACGCTTTACTCTTCATTCTCTTTGCTCATTCAAGTTCGGATTCGGTCCCAAATGGATCACTTCTAGATGCGTTTTCTCTTCCCATTTCTCTGCATCCTATTACAATTACTCACAACATTGTGGGGATTACAAATACGGATCCCACAAGAATTCAGTAAATGAGAATTTGCGCAACGATTTTTATCGGGTTGTTTTGTGTCTTGCACCCCGGGGTCTTTGCGTGCTTCTTTAAGGAAAGGGCTACGAAGCCCCTGGCCCTAGTTCCAGACCGTGGGGTTTCCTATTTTGCTTAGCTTAACTTTTGTAGAAGGATTATTTGTGCTAATTGTATTTTAAATGTTGCTAGCTTTGCTATAATAAGCACATTCCGATAGAATTCAAGCAATCTAAGTGAAGTGCTAATCCGAGTAAACCGGGGTCCACTCTTTAGAAGTTCACATTCTTTCAGTTCAATTTGGAGGATGTGACTCTGTGATGAAGCCCTCATCACCTACGACTTGATCTCTACGTGGCATCTATTTACTTGTAGATTTATTACTTTTGTTATTTTTTATCCATTAACGATTTGCTAACATCAAAATCATCATCAAATTTGATCCTAGTTGTGGGATACTGGAAATATCCTATTACCTTTACCAAAGAGGATTATCTGTGTGGTTTATGTATCAACTTTCAATCTCAAAATTGAAACGATTAGTAGGAGCCAATTTGATTTACCTGCACCATTTAAGATAACAATATTCTAGCCTTCATTTTTTGAATGCCGTTAATAGAGATTTAATACAGAATTTTGGCTTGTAAGCACTCACGTTTTTTATATCTTCTCTTACATTGACAGTTTTCAATCACCATCCAACTTGATCTCCATTCCCAGGGTATTGATTTGCATTCGTCTAAATTTCTACTAAACCCCCCCCCCCCTAAAATCTCGCGCATACACTGCGAGATATTTAAAATGACCAACACAGTTTTTATTTTTTTTTCTATTTTATTATTTTTACTTACTAGTCAATCAGGGTGATGTGTTTTGCATAGCCTTGACCAATAGGAGCAGTGAAAATGATTCTTATGTGAACTAGCCTAGTAGAGCTTGTGTAAAAGTGTTCATTATTTTAGCACAAAAGGAATTGGCAGATGAAAATGAGGGCGCAGAACTTAAAACTAATTAAAAGGGTGAAGTGAGAGGATAATTGTTTTGCTTTTTTTATTTATTTATCTCTACGAGTTTCTGCTACCAATATGTTCTTGTTTAGGCTTATAAGCACTGAGCATCCGTGTAGTTCTGCCTGTTTATGCTTTAACGTTTGAGTTGTAGGGCCAACGCCAGAGGTTTGACAAGTGGGAAGTACTAAAAGAGTGCTGTTTTTTTCTCGAATGAATGCAAGAAATATTATCACTTGCTGTTATTTCAACAGTGGTGCTATCCATAAGAATTTCCTTACCTAATCACGCGCCTGCTTTATTACCCGTCGATTGATACTCGGAGCGATATCTGGTACCGCCTTTTTGGTCCCCTTTCCCTCCTATTTTAAATTGATTTCAGTTGGCTCTTGTCTCTTCTACTCTGAACGTTGATTTCAAATGCTTATCAAAAGTTTTTTTGTCAACTTGCGGTAACCGTAAAAACGCAACCTTAGCAAGATTTATTTTTGAACAGCAGTCTCGTTTTTGTCAATGTAATGGATTGCATTCAGATCACGAACCTACTGCTAATTTTGCATTCATTGGAACACGGTTTAATATTTAGAATTAATTACTTCTGAAGGCCTTAGGATTTTACTTTCTCTCCCTGAGATCTTATGCCGCGTGTTTTGAAACGTTATTGTAGTGCCAGTTCAATTTGAAACATTAGTTTAGGCGAAGTGCTTGTTCTTGCCAGACCTGTAAAGTATGCAAATGCGGTCATTTGCATGCCAAATGTTATCAAGTTGGAGGGAAATGGAAAGAAAGTCAGATTTATGTCTTGTCTTTGTTGAGCGCCCTCTTCATCATTACTGCTTTCTTGGGAATTGTGACGATTTTTTGACACGATAATCCCAATCCACCTCATAGCGGAGCATTTTCCATTGAGATTCTATAATGAGAGACTTAAATATTTCCCACCTTATTGGCCAGACTAACCTATGCATTTGGTCATTTCACTCACGGATCATATGCCGATGGCAATCGAACTTGGTCGCCTGTAGTGAATTGTTCCCGCCTCATCTGGCATTCTATCTCTCTTCATAATGATTCTGTGATTCTTTGCGCTTCCTGTTAATATCTATCTTGATCACTGAAAGAGCAAATTTATTAAAGCGTTTTTCAACGTAACGAATTAGGCAGTTTAATTAAAGTCATTTCCCAGCGGAAAATGAATTTAGGTTTGTAATAATTCACTTCAAAGATGCAATTTTTTCGTTGACTTACCATCTAGAATATCACTGTGTTTGCCCATTCTCACATCAAAGCGATTGGTACACGACACCTCCCTAAAGGAACTTGTGCTTTAAATTAACCCCCCCCCCCCTAACACATTTAGCACAGTCGTCGATGTCCATCTCTGAATACGAATAAGTTCTCCTTATCCTTAATCGCTTTCTAGAAGTTTGTGTTTCATAACCATGGCAAGTACACCTTTTGGGTTTAGGTTTAAATGCTGCTGTTTCATGCTCCTCTGAACTCAAAACCTATTTTGTGCTCAGAGCAAGCCCAAGTCAGTTTTTTTTCGTATTTTTCTTCGAATTGATCATTTATTCATTCATTGCCATTAGCTTTCACAACTAGATGACTCTATTTATATTTAGGTTTCAAAATAAATGTGTGTTTGTTTTTTTTATACTGTAACCTTGTAACGGTTGCTTTAAGTCAGCTATTTGTTTTACTCAATCCACCCATTTTACTTGCTTTCAGTCATCTACAGTACGAAGATGTATCGCTTCCTCAAGTACATTGAAAATCGTGAGATTGCCAAGCAAGTTCTCATCGAACGAGGACTCAAAAAAATTCGAATTGGCATTGAAGGTAAGTCCTACAGAGTAAAGTGTTTTGTCTGTTTCAATAAATAAAAAAATCAAGACACTTTGGGGGATTTACCTTCTTTCTGATTTCCCCCCCCCCCTCCTCCTTTTTTGCCTCATTTTGTCTGACTTGATGTTAATTCAATTTTCTTTGCTAATTATTTATTTAGCAACAGAATTTAATTGTAATCAAATAAGGCGACCTAGAATCGACGAGAAGGAATGTGTGTGCGTGTGTGTGTGTGTGTGTATGTGGTGTGGTGTGGAGGGGGCGGGGGTGTGATGAACGCGATTTAATTAACTCTACATGGGAGGTGTTTTGTTGAGTCTATCATCGTAATTAGTAAATGAATTTTAAACTCGGTCCATTTTTCGCATATTAAGTTTTCCTTCAATATGTGATTACTTAACCCCTAGAAGTGTGAATTTTCGATCAAGGGAAACAAACTTTTTCCAAGCGAATGATTGACTGTTCAGGCAGACATTTTGAGTTGAGTTGAAATCGGTCGGAAAGGTTTTCATCTGATAAAATAGCAGTTAACTGACATTGTGCTTTAAGTTTGCTTTTTTGTAGTAGATTTGGCACTAAGGTGAATTTATTATTTAATCGACGGCTAATTTAGTTATCTAGTTTAGAGTTAGTGGACATGAGTAAGTAGAATTTGTCTTTATTTTTTTATATATAATGAGTCGGCTAATTGAAGAAGCTGAGATAGGCTATGGGATCTGATTTTTTTAATTTGGACGCTTGATCAGGTGTTTCTTGATTACTTTAGGTGTTAATTTAAGTATCTCCTCCCAAGGCTTTCTCATGTTGGTTAAGTATATCTTTGTCTAATAATTATCTATTGAGAATTCACAGATTGTTTTCTGTTTGTCAATTATTGAGAACATATTCAGACCCTACTTTGAAGCAGTTGGGCATGTGGCAATTAGTTGCTTTCATGAATTCAGCGTGTTGTTAACCCAAATGCTGAGGAGGGCGAATTTACTAAGTGAATAACATATGAAGCCAAACCTAACTTTTTGCACGTAAATTTGAAGCATGAAGCGTGGTTTTTATATGTGTGATCTAATGTCGTTTTCCTTTTTCCCTCCCCTATAGGCTATCCAACTTGTAAAGAGCGAATGAAATTTCGCGTGGGTTCACGGCCTGAAGGTAAGTTGTGGATTATTAGTTCTTTTCCAATAATACCACAATTTTTGTCTTTTTCCCTACCTGCAATTGCTATCTAAGACGTGGGCACCGTTTGCTCAGTTTATATTAAAGGTATTTCTCCATACAACAGAGGAAGGAAAAATGTTGTAATTTGACTAAATACAAAAGAGACTCGTCTCACAGCCATAGTACTTGTTTTTTTACGATTCTTTTTTATTGAGAGGTCCTTAGCCTTGAATTTCTGTAACAATTTGTGACATGCAATCAACTGATTGATATGCGACAGGTATATTGTCGGTTTGCATACTACTAAGGGTCAACTCCAAAATCATTTCAAGTTATCCGAGATATCATCTTGTTATTACTTGTTTCATAAAGATGTGATTTGTACTTCCATATGTGTGCTTGTTATTGAGGAGATGATCGATGATCTACATGGCACGATTCTTAGCATGACTTCTTACCTCGAGACCTTAAATGTGTGTGTGTGTGTAAGAAAATGGGTTTTGGGGAAACTATTCTTTGCATTCTGCTCTATCATGTTTGAAGGGCGCCATGTGAATTATAAATCAAGCGCAACCCATTTTGTGCGTGTACGCATGTACTCTAAAAGGCATGTGACGCGTTATTAACGGAACAAACTTGTTATCGACAATCTTATCGGACAACAATCAAAACGTATCTCTTGATATTACCCCCTTCCATATCCTGCTTAAGGCACATGCATTTGATGTCTGGCTCAGAGGTAAGTAGGGTAAAAATTTGGATTTTTTGCTTTAGGGTGTATGCATGCACATTTGCGTGCTTTGATACGATGTCACATTTGAGTTTATCTAAAGTACTCAAGCGCTATTCTCACATTGGCAGACTGGATTAAACGCTAACTGAAAAATTGCACTTCTATGGAGCAATTCAGCTAAAAACTACCGATACGAGATCCATTTGACGTATGAATAAGTTAATAAAATTAGCAATGCTACTAGAACAGTTTGAGTATTCGGAGGGACTTATCTTTCGTTCGCCCTTCTGGTTTTGTTCCCCCACCAGTAACGTGGATATGAAGTGAAGTTAATCCACGAGGACCTGAAAATATTTTAAAATGGTTCCCTCTCTCTCTCTCTCTCTGATCACTTAGTTTTATGTCAGCATAGGACCTAACGGAAGACATTTGTGCCACTCTATGAATATAGCATTGTGCACATGGCCTGTTGGTACAGATGGTTAATTCCAAACCATTTACAGATAATTGCCATTAAAGAGCACATGACAATTTCTTAATGAGTCAGGTGCATACCGTTTTAATGCCAAACATTAGATCATGATTCGGTTGTCTGCTTGCTTGGTCGTTGAGATTAAGTTCTCTTCATCCAGGCCTGAAGCCTAACTTGTTTGATCTAAAAGTAACATTCGTTTGCCTGTTGCATGCGTGCGTGCGTGTGTGTGCTTTACTATCAGCTTGTACAAATAAACCGCCATGCCTTTTACCAAGGCAACTCCAGTGTAATGCGTTTGTTCCTTTTCCTTTGGTGTAGTGGTCAGGTGAAGTTTTTCCTCTCATATTAATCTTGCTATAGCATTCGTCATCTGGTTTCTAGAAGTTGGGTCTTTGATTTCGTTCAAGTGTCAATAACGAGCTTAACTCGAAACCTCTAGCCTTAGACAAATACAATTGTACCTATTTTATTCACCAATTGGTCATTTTCAGTTGCACATCTGCCCTTATACGGGTTTCTCATCTTTGTCACTCATTTCGCCAATTTGCTGGTCTTTATATTATCTATCGGCGATGAAGTAGTTCTCTCAACCATTCCAGACACCTACGATTTTGAATGAAAACGAGGCTCATTGTCGGTGGTGGATTGTTCCTTTCAGGCAATTTTGGTGGTCTTTTTTTAATTAAAGTATTGTGCTCAATACTTGAAGTCTTAATTGCTCGGATAGGGGTTTAGGAGGTGGGAAGGTCTGTGGCTCTTTTTCATCTTTCCCTTAGGTTTCAACATTATGCATGTCTATTTTCTCTCCACTTCTCAATTACTCTCCTGGGCAGATACATTCAAAGAAATAGTATTTTTCAATTGTTTGAATTTGTTGCAATAGTATCTTCTTCTACCGTATTATATATTTAATGAAGACGCATATTTTATTATTGACTGTCTTCAGTAATTGGCCACCAGACCCTTTGAGACTTCTTTTTTGCGCTTTGGCTATTTTCACGATTTCCTCACACACAAAATTATGTCCATATCACTAGACTTGTCTCTATTATGGACCTGACTTCGTTAGCTAAAAATCGGTTCTTTTGGGTACATTCTCCATGCGTCATTTTTATTTGAAGTGTTCGCTCGAATAGAACCCAGTACTTATCGTTTTCTATTTTGAATAACTTTAACACTGACGGTATTACATGTTTATCCCTCTCACAGCCATCTACAACTACGTTCAACGTCCATTCCTACGAATGTCCTGGGAGCAAGAAGAAAATAAGTCACGTCATGTTGATTTCCAGTGCGTGAAGAGTAAATCAGTGAGTGATTTGACCTCTCTTGATCAGGCCGTCATCGATCGACCTCTATTGACCCCATCAACGGCAACAAACAATACCGGCGAGACCCCTCCTATTAACGGAGGTGTTCCAGTGACCCCTGGCGATCCAATTCCACCCAGGTTCTCCCCCTCCTTGCCCAATCACAATCATCATATTCAGCACCAGACTCATCACGCCAACGGTGGTGGTGGTGGTGGCTCTAATCATCACGGATAATCACTTTCGACCCTTTTACCCTTCACTTTCTGCCCATTTTCCTGTGTTTATCTCTCCATCTGTTCTTTTTCAGCGGAACTGGCGACGGCCCCTACTAACACTATATAAATAACCTGGCACTTTGGCATCACTGTGTCACTCTTTTTTCTGCTGTTTTGAAATCCAGCGTTGTACGCTGATAAATAAGCTTTATTATCTTCCACTTTTTCTGTCATTTTATCTAAGGTTAGGGTGGTGGTGGTGGGGTTATTCCTGCAAATTTTTTTAAACAAACATAAATGCACAAACTTTACGTTTTTAAGGTTGGAAACAGCTACTTATTTATATCAAATTGTAGGCTTTACTATAGTTATCATTGGCACTTTAGTCGACTTCGGGCTTCACAGAGGGGTGGAACATCAAAGTCTTAAAAAGTCGAGAGTAGGAACAGAAGAGGGATTCACGGATGTAAGAGAGATAGACGCAAAGGTAGAGAAATAGGTAAGGTAAGATGAGTGCTGTGAAAGTGGTCGATTATGACTAACAGCTGAATCCTAGTAGTTTGAAGTCAACTACCGGTTTTTAGAGTGTGAGTATTCGTGGGGGGTAAGTCTATCGCACACCCCTGATTGAAAACATACTTTTATGCTTAACAATGCCAATGTATTACTCGGGTAATTTGCACGTTTGGTTTTAGATTAACCTGACATTTTGGAAGAAAAGAATTATCTTTATGCTGTTGATTAATTGGCCCATTGAGAAAATGCAATTCCATAAAACTTTGACCTTTTACTCTGCTTCAGAATTGGTTGTTCTTATCCTCGAAATTTGTTCCACTCTTGAAATCAGGACTGAGGAGAAATAATCTGATTAATGGCTATTCAAACACCCTTGTCCATTGTTTGGCTTGAAAATTTTCAGAAATAGGACATTTAGAATTGTTGTCACTAATAACAGCACGTTTCCCCTTTAGGAAACCCACCAATATGAGGTTTTTACTTTCACATGATTCCCAGTTATGGTATAGAGAGGATTGCACCCAATGACCCGAAAAAAGGACATCTTGACTGGTCCATTTAAGCTGAGTCTCTTCGCGTGGGCAGAATTTTTCTTCTGGGACACCACTATTCTCTGAAATCTCATTATCTCTACCTCACAGTAGCACTTAACCCAGCGGTGACCAACGTGGTCTGGATAAGTCACTTAACTGGTCCTTTCTGGGATTCGATTTCCCTGTAGATATGTCTGGATTCATTCTTTCCCATGGAAACAATATAAAAACCTTTGAGTGAAAACGCAGACACGCCTATCTCTTTCCGGTTCTTCTGCTTCTAGCTCTGCCCCTCCCCCCACCCCCCAAATCTCTCTAATCCTCTGTTGTTAGGCGATAGCTGTTGCGCCTATGGGATAGTGTCTGAGTGAACAAACAGAATTAACTTAAAGGTATTCTTGCTTAGGTCAGCTTATTGATCAATGAATTTATGATGTTAGGAAGGAATCCACGTTTTTTTGAGAATGGAGAACTGATTGTGTTAGGGCTTTCACACAACCTAAGATTGCAAGGATTCAATTTCCAATCATAGGCTTAATTGTCTTTGAATTTAACACCAGCATTGTAAACCCAATGCTTGCCCCTTCGTGCCAAATTAGTTTGGCTGAGACAAATTTTTCCAACCCAATAAATTCGGCCCATTAGAGGTACCATGGTTGAGGCAATGAGTGCAAATCGCTGTCTGAAATTCTTCCAAACTTAAGTGGGTGTGTTTGAATGTTCACAATTTTCATATCTCAGAGATACTCAAGCAAAACAAGCTATAAAAACCAAACCAATACTGCACTTGTGGTTTTAATGGTAATCGAAATTGGCAATTGCAGTATATGAGCATTGAAAGTCGATAAGCATGTCCTCATTTAACCCACCTGGGTCCTAATAATTTTCTCAATTACATTCCGCTTAATATATTTATTAAAAAATGGCAGGCGTTTTGATGGTTATCATTAGCCGTATGAGTATACGTTGCCCAGGGTGCACCACGTGGAGGTAAGTCTATCGCACACCCCCATTCGGGTAATATACTGTTTTGGCAAATATTATTCCAACCTCCGCTTTTACCATTTCCGGAGACAGATTTATTGCAGATTCGATCATTCTTTTCTCAAATGGCACCGTGGGCTATGTGAGAGAGTTAAGCTCGAATGCTTAAACCACTACAGGGGTACAGTTGCCCCTCTAAGCTAAACCCTGTCTCTCATTTTCTATTGCTCATACCTCTCAGTTCAACGAGAAAATGAAAACATGTGGGTTTTGTTTGGACGCCAAAGTATAAAATTTTGCCGATTCAAACAGAAGAAAAGGCGATTGAAAACATTCAACAAGGCCGCTCCTTATTCCTGATCTAATAACTTAGTAAGCAGATGAAAACTCCTTATCATGTTTTTCATTCATGCACTAATACACCAACATCCACACATGCGTCATT